ATATATAGATATACAATAAAAAAAAGCAGCTACTAGCATGTACTCATTTGGTTTTTGCTGGAATTAGGTTTTCCAAAGTAGCCAAAGACAAAATAACACAGCTTACAGAGTGATTTTAAACGCCTTTCTAATTCCTATGTAAACGTTGGCATAACAATAAGCTAAGGATAATAAAGAATAAAAGAAGTATTTCAGTTATTGGAAGCCTGATGAAAGTATTGATCTGTAGAGCAGTGAAATACTGATTTGTCTGAGATGAGCAGCGCACTCCCAGGAGGTGAATACCTTAGTACATCGCCCATATTGTACCTATAGCCTCGGTATTGAAGGAATGTTCAGTTAGCTTCTGTGTTCCGATGCATGAAGCAACTGTTAATATTTAACGGCCAGTTCGGTAGATGAGTAACGCGTGTGTCATCTGTACATATAGGCGGTGTCGGCACGATAGACAGGCTTATACCTCCTTCATGCTTTGCTATTATTACTTTGTTACCGACGGGGCTTTCTGTTAATATTTGGGGATATGAAAGCGGCCACAAGCATATACATGTATCAAAATGTGTCTTGTAAATGTTGAGGACGTTATAGTCTTTTCTGTGCCTGATATTGATTTGTAATAGAGAGGGCAAAGAAAGTCATAGGCTGCTTGTATTCTGTTGTGCATTACCCAAAATCACAGAATCCTCCTTAATACAAATGCAACCTTGTGTTTATTTAGTTAGTATACCTCTGCTCTGATTACGTTTTGCAATAATTAAAAAAAAAAACCTCATAGAAAACGGGATAGTTGTATTCAATATAGTCAAACTGTGTTTATTTTAGTCAACAACATTGTTTTACTCTCATGAGATATTCTCTACCTATAGGAAATAATTATAATTAAAGACATTCCCTTTGATGTATCAGTCTACTCATTTTAAATAAAATGCTGATCTTTTTGTTGATCTGTCTCATGGTAGAAGTTGCCTTTTTTTTAAATAGTGTAAACACATTCTGTTCTTTTCTGTTTGACAGACTACCAGAGTGAGTATTATGGACCGGGAAGCAACTACGATTTCTTTCCTCAAGGACCCCCCTCATCACAAGCTCAGACCCCTGTAGATTTGCCCTTTGTAACCTCCGGACCAGCAGGCACGCCACTTGGTACAATGGAGCACCCCTTACCTGGACATCACCCTTCTAGTGAGGTACAGCGTTTTACTGACATCATGTCTCACCCGCCAGGAGACTCCCCCAGCCCAGAGCCCAACCTGCCCAGCTCAATGCACTCCATGTCCGCAGAGGTGTTTGGTCAAAGTCCCCCTTTCTCCTCTCTATCAGTCAATGGGGGAGCAACTTACGGGAATCACTTGTCACATCCACCAGAAATGAATGAAGCGGCTGTCTGGTAGCTTGAGAACCAACAGACGGACTAACAATAAGACTGGTGCCAAAAGCCATCTCGGTTGACATTGCTCTGGCACACACAATTCCCCCCTGAAACAATATCTGTCTGGACGGAGTCTGCCGGGCTCTTGAAAAGAAGGAGACAAATTCGCAATCACACTGGACAAAAAATAATAAAATACAAAAACTGGCGAAGCTGCAATCCCAGTAGATCACATCCATTATCCCAATAGATGGTAGGCAATACCGATTCCATCAACCCCACTAGACAACACAAATTATATATATATTAAGGATTGACCTAGTCTGGTCCAATATGTCCATTTTCTGCAAGCCAGTAGAAGCTTCAGAATAGCTAAAAACCTGACTTCCAGGTGGAGACAGAACATTTGTTTGCCAAAATATGAAATACAAAAAAAAAATGTAAAAGCCCTCAGCATCAACTCTTCTACCTTGACAAAGCTACTGACACAAATAAAGGATCCTCACCATGAAGGTCTGCTGTCAGACCTGTTCTGACTTGAAAAAAAGATTCTACCTTCACTGACAGCGGAAACTAAAAGACTATTGAACTCAAAACAGTCAACTGTTTACGTCTGACGTTCAATTCAGGAGCCTAACGTTTTAGTAATAATCCACTTTTAGAAACCTCTGTTCATAACAACCAAGCAAAACGTTTTGAGCAATCAACCAAAATGATTCATTCTTTAGTTTTTGTTTTCTGTGGATGTAACGGGACTGAATGAAGAAAGAGCGTTTTTTTTCCTTTCTTTTTTGTTTTTTTTGGTACTCTGTGCTAGTTTTGTTAGAAGATTGTTTACAGAAGGCAACAGGAAGTGAACAAAACGTGAGGTGCCAAATCAAATATATAGCACAAAATACTGTAAGGTGCGTTAGCGCCAGCCACCCTGGGAAAGTGTTTCAAAGTGTTACACACTTTCCAAACATTTGATATACTTTTTAGTCCTGTTGAACATTCATTGACTTGTTAATGGATTATATAGACCCAGACAGGTTTTTATTTTTGTGTCCTTTAAAGAAAACAAAAGTCCAAAATATTTAAATTTTATGGTCAAATATGCAGTCCTGAGCTGCTTTTTCTTTATATATTAAATTTTCTCATACGTCTTTTATTGTTATTATAAGCCTAAGCTAGTGTGACCTCCAGTGCATATTAGACCATTCACTGTATGAAAGGAAAACATGTTGATAATTTGTGAATTTTTAATAAAAATAGAAAATGATGTTTAGATAATTTGTATTTCATTGAGTGTATCGGATATAGTTTGGCTGGCCAAATAATATATACGTATTTCTATGTTATCTACCTGTTTAGTATTCTTTATTTACTTTTATACATCGTGCAAAAGAAATATGATCAATGACATCCAGAAACCCAAATACTGTATTTCCTCCAATATAAAAGACTTATTTACTATAGAATAACCAGATCAGTGCCATTTAAAGGAATAACTGTATGTATTGTTTTTTTTTCTGAGAACTGGAAGAAATAGAAGCAGACGGCTTGATACAGTTCGCCTTAGTAAAGGATAAAATACAATGCAATGCGGAGCTATGTCAGAAAAATATGGATCTTCCTTAAAGGAGAGGGTACCATACTTACCAAGTCTCTGCATAGCATTCTAGACTATTAGAATAGTCTGTAAACAACTATTTTTAGATACCAAAATCTAATTTGCTGTAAAGGTCATGCTGCGTTCTCTCAGTTAACTCTGTAGCTCCAAGGCTGCAAAATGTTTCTGTTTTACTATGATGCCTAATCCTTATAAAATACCTTCATGCTTTAATCAGAAACCAAAAAAAGGAAATTGTGTTTTATGAATCTTTCTTGAGTATAGTGTGTATGCAGACGCCCGACTCGTTCATCTTTTCACCGACTGATTATAGAACCTCCTCAATGTATAGAGAGATGGGTTGATGGGTGATGCTAGGGACTATGGAGGTAATCATAAACCCCGGATGGCGTCACTGGCTGGAGTGCATGCCTCCTCTGTACATAGAAAATGTTGATGTCTAAGTTTCCAGAGATTGCCTGTCACTGGCTGCCGTGATACATGAAGTATAGCTGGGAGCCCTAACACGGGGCAGCTCATTTGATAATCTGACAGTTGATAATCTGACAGCTCGGAGAAAGTGAAATCTTGCTGACTACTGGCTGCCGAAAGTGCACCGCCTCCAACAGCCTGATTTCTCTCTATTCCTTCTGGAAGCCGGCAATTAATTGGTCAAGTAATTGCACAGAGATTCCATGTACATACAACGGAAGGCAGACAGCTTGGTCAGATTGGGGTGACGTCACACCTTAATGTGGAAACATTCATGCCAATGGCTTGCTTAGGTGTGTGATTTATAAACTTGCCCTATAGACCCTCCTTCTTAACGTATTCTAATTGTTACAATTCAGTGGGACCTACTGATTTACATTGAATTAATTATCTTTAATTCAAAGTCATTATCTATTTATATATATATATATTACTGTAATATATTTATATTATCTATATTCCTATATTGCTAGTAAGGAATTTGTGTGATTTCTATGGTCGATCTAGCTAGCTGTGTGGCTAGCTAACCACTACTTGATTTGTCTTTTTGCTATAGACTAGATCGTATTGTAAGCTTGAAGCCTTTCTAGTTGTGGACATGAGATGACAATGCTCCTGAGATCTGGGAACAAAGTGACAGCAGCCAGGCACTGTCAGATAGAGGCTGGCTTCTAATCTATGTGTAAGCATGAAGCAGCCGTAGGAAGAAATGCTCTTCAGCTTGTAATGATGATAACAATTCGCCAGCTACTTTCCATTCCAAGAGCCTGAGTCTCTATTCGCCGTACAGCCTTTGCACACTGCCAGTTGGCTTTTGCAGTTCGCCCCTTGGCTGTACATGGTAATATGTCCGCACCTTCCCCTCCCCTGGCTTTGATGGGAGCGCCTCTGAAGTCGTTAAGCGTTATGTCTGTTGCAGGGAGCAAGTGGTAATTAATGATATACCTCTGCCCTCTGTAGGACAATAGGCAGCACTGAACCGAGCTGCGAGCAGCCTCACTGTCGTCTTGCTTTCAATATGCCGTTGAGCAAATTACATTTCTCAATTTCTTTCCAGACGATGTCTTGATGTAAAAGAAAAGCAAATCCGACAGCAAGGCGAGGGCATAAAGCACACAGGGGCGGTGAGATGTAGCTTTAACCCTGTTCATTCAAGCAGGTGTTCTAGGAAAGATTGCCCAGCCATTGCCTTATTTTTTATTTTCTTGCCTTGGATAAGGGTTGTTGCTAGGATTCCAAAAAGTGTGTGTGTCTGTAGAGGGTCATTCCGCATCCTCAACTCAACAATAAAAGGAAATCTTTGGCACATTAGCATGTCATGGCAAACGGTGGATAAAATCAGTGGACCGGGCTTTGGCCACTGCACACCTATGCCAAGGTAAAATATGCTTATAACCACAGAGGCTTATTTAACACTATGCCAAGGTAAAGCTGTTTTCACTCTCTGCTGCCGCAATGCCAGGTTCCTCAATGCGCCCCCCTGTATGCAGGCTGCATACAAGTGATCTCGGCAACCTTGCTGAGATCACTTGTACAAAACAAGTGATGGCTTCCCCGCAGTACATTTAGCCCTGCTTGCCCAAAGCAGGGCTAAATGTAGAAAACAACTACCCGCTCGGCGCCCGGAACTGCATGTCCTCGGCGTCGGGAGATAGGAATTCCACACACCTGCTGCCCCTCTACTCCCTGCTGCCCTGCAGCCGGGCCTCGGTTGGCCTTGTGGAAAATCTGGCCCTGACTGTACCCCTAGGCCAAGGTCAAGGGTGTTTATACCCACACAGGCTTATATAACACTGTACCCCTACGCCAGGGTAAAGGGCGCTTATACCCACACAGGCTTACCTAACAGTGTACACCTACACACCAAGGTGAAGCATGCTTATACCCACACAGGCTTATTTATCAAGCCAATAATAAAAACCCTAAGTGCAAAGTGTGGCATTCAAATCAACCAATGAGAAATCATGCCATGGTTTATTTTTTTTCAAGCAAATTTTAGCTGGTTGATTTATATCACTCTAAAAAATGTGTTGGATTTAATTAAAAAAATTATTGCAGAATTTTGCAATCAGGTTTTTAAGTATTTTTAACTTATGGCATTTTTCAGTAAATTAAAATTGAAAAAATACTTAACCACAACTTACATTTCTGTTTAAATTCAAACAAATATTACTTGAAAAGAAAATAATACCAACTAAATCCAACAATATATTTTATTCTTTTTAAACTTAACATTCTGGGGGAAATTTATAAAAACTGGAGCAGGCAGAATCTGGAGCAGTTGCCCATAGTAACCAATCTAAATGAAAGAAAGAAGCTGAATGATTACCATATGCAACTGCTCCACATTCTGTCTGCACCAGTCTTGATAAATTCCCCTCTCTGTGTTTTTCCAGTTACATATATACATTTTCTGTTATAAATACATAGGGGGAATTTATGAAAAATGGAGCAGACAGAATCTGGAGCAGTTGCCCATAGTAACCAATCAGCTTCTCTTTTCAGTTTGTTCAATTAAGCTTTAAAAATGAAAGCTAGAGGCTCATTGGTTCCCATGGGCAACTGTTCCAGTTTTAGTAAATTCCTCTCATGTCTTGTATTCTTCTGAAAAAATACAAGACCTTTATTTTTTGATTGGAGGATAGTGAGAAGGGGCGGGTAAAGCGATTAGAGTGCTGTACTGCTCGAGTCACATCTCTCCCTCTCTTCAGTGCCTGGAAGCTGGGCGTTGTGTGCAGGAGACAGCATGCTGCAAGGTAACATTTTTATACTTTGCAGCCGCCCTCTGCACATAACACCCAGCTTTTTAATGATAATTTACACACCCAGTGAGATACCCAGGCAGATACCACCCACTGCCTGATGTCAATCACCAAGAGAGCAGACCTGATGGGGAACTAGGCTTCTTAACTTCCCAATTAGGCAGGCGCTACCCACTAGTAGGACACCTTGGACGCTTCACCACTGTATGACAGTTGCAGTGTGTATTGGAGGTGGTGGGCTGCACTTAGGATGGACACCATGGCCTCTACGCGCCTCCACACCGCAAATGGCAGTGCTTGCACCAAATTCATGTACCTGTTTCCTACAGGTACATGAATCTGGGGCAAACACCGGCAAATGTTGTGCTGATGCATCAGGGAATTCCAAAGAGTGTTGTAGACCAAGGCGGTCTCTTCTCCTAATATAGGCATAGAATTAACAGTTTTCGTAAGCCTACCTTAAAGAGGCAACCAGCAGCTATTGACATAATCAACATTTTGGTCAAGTATGTAACCTCCAAAACATTATCACCTAATAGAATGCTCCATTGTGCTGGTTATTAAAGGTGAGTACCACTTTAAATCGGCAGTAAACCACCTTTAACAAAATAAAAACAAACTGTACCCCCTGAAGCCATTTGGAAAAAGTTGACCTTTACCCCCTTTTACTAAAAATTACATCAGCATGCAGCCCTGCATGCTGATTTAAAATCATGTTATATTCATTAGTTAAACAAACATGTTTTTCATTTACTTACAAATGGAGTTCATCTACTTCTTGGTCCACTTCTGGCGCAAATGATGCAATGTGCCCAAGCATTGCATCCTGGGATGGTTATATCAGCAGAGCATTGCTGGCAAATCTCATGTGTAATCTCTAGAGATCTCAGGGAAAGGCATTTTCCTCCCTGAGATGATGTGCATGGTCACATGTCCTAGTCACATGTGCCAGAGTTCCAGGAAGTAAAGGGAGATCTAGAAGCCTGCTCTTAGCTAACATGGCCACTGCCAGAAGAATGGGGAAGAACAGAAAAAATAA